TACTATTCAAACACACTTGAAATCATTTTCTCTACAAAACATTTTCTAGGCAATACTTTTCCCTGTAAAACATTTCTTTCCACCCATTTTCCACCCTTGCAATCAAACGCACCCTAAGAGAGAGCTTTTGAAAGTAAGAGTTTTTCCATTTATACATCAAGTGGTGTACATCAAGGACTACACTCGTCTCAAATGGGAAGTGGAGTCCACTCGAATAATATTTTTTTATTCAAGTGGATCCCACCCTCCATGTGAGAGGGTGTAGTCCTTGACGTATACCGTGATATATCGATAGCATCACCCTGAAAGTAATTGTTTAAATTTTTATTTGTAAATTAATTCTTTGTAAATTAATTTTTAAAAGAACTTCTAATTTCAAAAGTACTTTCAGATAAAGTTGGTAACTAGAAGAAGTATTTTTATAAAATTAATCATTTATAAAATAGCTTTTGGATCTCAAAACCTCATTTTGACTTTTCAAAAGCCATGTCAAACTGGCTTTAAGTAGTTTTTAATATAAATTAATGAAATCCCTATTTGACGGAGATTACAATGCGATTTGTAGCAGCAGTTTCGATAAAAGTTAATGAAATCTATGATTAAAAAAGTTGTAAATCCTATTAAATATATGGGATCCACGACAAGCGGGAAGTATATAATTAAAAATTAAAATACACGAATAAAATTAACGGTTGATTTTAATCTTTAACTTTTTAAGCTTTACCGAAAAAAGCAACCAACATTTAAATCTATGATTTCATGATTTAGACTAAAATTTCAATCTTATACTCGCCGAGAATCAACAAGAAATTCGTCGAAAGAAGGCCTTGTGAAAATTTAAAATTGTTTCTTCAACTTAAATCAAAACCACAATAATATAAGCCCATGTTTGTCTACCATTATGGGGAGGAAAATTGTGTAATGAATAGTATTTTTTGGAGAATGTGTGGTTGAAATTTAAAGTAATTTTATTGGTTTATATGTAAAATATTTTATTAGGGGAATATGTGGTGGAGATTGTTT